TTTCAAATCAATATAAGCTCAAATCTAGGAAGTTTCGCTTTTATCTTGGTGTTCTGTGGCTGTGGAGGATTTTTTAGTATATTTTTTTTGAAGGAAACATATCTGAAACTGCACCAAGTCTGAATTCCATCTTTCAAATTTGAGCTTACGATGACAATGTCAAAAGCAGGGGACCAGACAGATTTCTCATGGTAGAATTTCTTCCCATCCCAGAACATTTGCACATTGCACATGTTCAGTTAAGCCAGTACAGAGGCAAACTCATGTCAGTACTGCCAGTTATTGCCTTGGAAAAGGAGTAATGTTGTCATGAATGTACTGATTAAATCTTTGATCGTTCAAACTTTTGGAAACCTGCAGAAATGTTTCATTCTGTTGATTTTCGGATAATGTCAATATTCTTTAAATTCTTACATGTATCATGTGTTGATTGCTTCTCTCAGCAGATTTTCCTGTATATGTATCACCGTTGGATGCCAGTAATTTTTCCCTGCAGTGACCAACAGTAATAGCCATATTAAAGCAATAACATGTCCTTAACCATGTTAACAGTCAAATTCAGCTGTAAAAACATTAATATTAGAAAATATGTTTTTAGACTAGTCTCATGAGGTTTGGACACAGAGTGTCAAGCAGATCCATAAATGTACATGTATGTGGAATTCTTTCTCAAATTTTGTACCAAGAGGTCCATGGCTTTTTTCATTTTTTTTTGCTGCATGTTGATCTGCACTTTTGCACAATGTGATTATGCTGACTGTGGGGACTAGGAAAAAGGGACAGACTTCACGCTGAACATCTACACGTGTACACATACCGGTAGATAGGCTACTTGCATAAGAGCATGTTGTCATTTGATTAATTGAACTTTTGGTTGCCATTAACAAATGGAATAAGTACATGTTAGTGCTTAGTCAGTCTTAATGTGGATTTAAGACCGGCTTAGGAGAATGGATGCAACTAAGGCCTGACCTGGGGCTCAGGCATTATCAGCATTATTCTCCTGAGCCGGTTAGGAATCTCAGATATTTTGATCAGTTCAGTACATGTATCAACAAATCTGCATATACTGAGTTGATGTAGTTTCACGTGTGCTTGTTAATATTTATCCGCATTTGTCTGAAGTCTTTGGTGTGATTTCTTCATGAACAGGTGCATGCTTATATCATCAGCACTCTGCGTCGTGATATGCCCTCCATGTTTGGCAAGGAATCCAAGAAACAGCAACTGATCAACAACCTGGCAGATGTCTACAAAGAGATCGAGCGGTCCTACAATATATCTGCAGGTGACTTCCCTCCCATGAAGCGCATGAAGGAAGTCCTGGCTGACATGGACTTTACCAAGTTCCACCAGCTCAAGCCCAAGATGATCGAGAAGCTGGACCAGATGCTGCAGGGCGACATGACACGTCTCATGCAGATGGTGCCCCAGGAGGAAGCTCAGAAGCCCAGTGATGGCATGGGCCCGATACGCGGGGGAGCATTTGTTGGCAATGAGACCCCGTTTGGGGCAGGGTCTGGCGAGGGGGCTGATTATGGCAAAGGGGAGCTGAATGAGTGGGTGGTGTCCGAGAAGAAGGACATATACGACAGGCTCTTTGATTCACTCGGTCCAACGGACGGGAAGCTCTCTGGCACGAAGGCCAAAGAGCAGATGGTGAAGTCCAAGCTGCCCAATACAGTCCTGGGCCGCATATGGAAGCTTTCTGATGTAGACCGTGATGGCATGCTGGATTCTGAGGAGTTTGCACTGGCCCAGCATCTTATTAGCATCAAGCTGGATGGGCATGATATCCCAGAGGCCCTGCCTAGACACCTGGTCCCTCCATCTAAACGCCGCTTTGCACTAGACATGCACTCTTAGACCCACAGTCAAGCCGAGTGTGTACATGTAACACAAGTACAAGAATACATGTATGTCATGGAAAAGCTTGGTGTACATGTTTATGTACATGTACTTTGCAAAGCATGTACAGTACATGTGGTGCTGCCCACATTTGTTTTCAAAAGGTTCTCTAAACAGCAAACCTCACTGATCACATTCGAAAGCAAAGGAATTCTGATTGCATTTTTGCGTGTGAATACATGTATGATGCGAAACGAAACCAAATGAGTCAAACCACATATACACGTGTACTCTGTGGTCCATGCTGCATTACATACAATGTAATGTTCATTTCCTCACTAGAAAAACCACTGACATGTAAATCCCCGTACAGCTTGGACCTCCCTTTGTGGGATCATTGACGCACAAATGCCAGATTGCACTTCAGATCATTCTGTAGATCCTGAAGGAGAGTCCTGGATGGCAAACGCTCCAGTGGATTCTCTATTCTGTCTTGATTTCAATTTTTCAGTCTGCTAAGTCCTTGATTCAGGAAACTCTGTCCAGTGTAAATAAAAATATAACAAAACACAAGTACAATAAATGCATGCTTGGTAAAAACCTCTTGGCATTAGAATATGGCTAAAACAGGATGTGAAGCAGTACACATACCCATGTACATGTAAGTACATGCACCTTCACAAATGTTTTAGTGAATGCAAATAAAAAGTTAAGAATACATGTATGTCGACATGTACAGCAGCGTGTTTAGAATATATGTAATGGCTTCCAGGCTGTAAGCTACATCGTGTCTGCTATGTCAATTGATATTGAGTGTCATGTACATGTATTTGAAACAAGCACTCCAAATGCGAAAAGTGAAAAGCAGGAAGCGTAGGCAACTTTCAGTAATGTGTTTAAAAGTTAAGATTTCCAAATATGCTATCAATACTCACTGAGTAAATGCATGTGGCTATATGGTAGATAACTATAAAATAGTGCTAGGACTTTCATGTAATCCGTGCAGGAAAAAAAGTACAGGATATTTAGCTTTATTAATGTATGTGATTTGATGACCTGGGCAATACACTCGTACATGTGTCTGCTTGTAAGCAGCCAACTCTTGTCAAGTGATTTCTTTATATACATTATGTAAGAGGTTTTATTGCAGTGTTAATTAAGATGTTTCGTTATAATCAAAATTATAGCCAAAGTGTGTGTATGCATCAGACGTTTAAGAAGACGGTTTTTCCATGTCAGGGCTTATATCCATTTTTTTCCTTGTATTTCAAATAGCCGAACCTTGTGTGCTTGTTAAACGGAAGATGTTATTTGCATTATAGGATTTTCAGTATCTTAACCTGAGTTCTTCTGACCTTTAAACATTTTCATGCATAAATTTCCTTATTTGTTGATGATAAGAACAACAAATTTCATTGGAGTTAAGCAGCATAATGTAAATGAACATGTAATATTGTCTGAAGAAACTGTATTGGACCTGAATTTTTTTTCAATATTACAATTTATGGTAAGTAAAATGAGTAGTTAGTAATAGGCTCCAAAAGTACTACATTTCTACTTTGTACTCCAATGCATTGTATATATATTATGTCCATTTCATTAAACACGGTAATCTGCTTGGATTTGGGGATTTGTTAAGAAATGCAGTACACTCAGAGAAGTGTGAGTGGAAATGGGGTGATTGTAAGAAAGTGTTTTCAGTTTGATGTCTAAATTGTGGATTGTTAACCCTTGCTCTGTGGGCTGTGCTCCTTGGCCTGCTTGCACATGTAGTTCTGTAGCCTTTGCTCCAGTAGCCCTTGCGTGTATAGTCTGTGCTCCTTAGCCTTGTTAAATAGCCTTTGCTCCAGTAGCCCTTGCTTGTATAGTCTGTGCTCCTTAGCCTTGTTCAGTAGCCTTTGCTCCAGTAGCCCTTGCTTGTATAGTCTGTGCTCCTTAGCCTTGTTCAGTAGCCTTTGCTCCAGTAACCCTTGCTCTGAAGCCCATGTTACATACATGTACGTGTATGATGTACTGGGTAGTCATTTTCTTGCAGTAATTTGGCAGGCATTGCTGTACTGGCAAGTAATGGATCTACCAGTACATGTGTGTAGGTTGATATAATGTACATGTCCATGTATGTGCAAATGCAGAAGTCTTGTTGGAGGTTGTAAAAGAGCAAGGGTACATTGGATTTAGAGTTTTTTTTATCTTTTAGTGAATGCATGAGTTTGTGTCTGGACATGTTATTTTTCCAATTTAATCATTAACCCCTTCGCGCCGGGACGCGCCGTAAAATTGAGATCCTCAGCCCGCTTTTCAGCTATTATTCTCGGCCCACGCTCGAGCGAACACCGTGACAGAAGGCAGACCCTGGCTCTTGTATATATGGTGATTGGCCTTTGTGTGTTGCCAAGAAATGAAAAGACCGAATTTGCATCATAATCACCAGCTTCACAATAGTCCCCACTTTGAAAAGAGGCAACGGGAATGTGGAAGCTTGAATAGAGCCGCATGCCACCGAACAATCAGCCTTTTCACCGTGTAATTCAAAGCGTGCAGAGCACGCAGGACCACGTAACCGAGAATTTGCAGTTTGGCAGGTGGCCTTCGTAGCCAAGTGAGGCTGGAATTCTTGGAGTCAGCTTTCGGGAAGAAATTCCCGGCGCGAAGGGGTTAACATTAATGTACACAAAATGTACAATAAAATTAGTTTTGAAACTCTTTTATCTGTTCAAAGCATACATGTATATGTACATGTAACTGCACCATTTACAAAATGTGACATTACACCATGCTTTGATGCCATTTGAAGTTATCCACTTAATTAGGTACAGTACTGTTAGGTCTAAATGGAACTTGATATACTGTATGACCTTGTGCTGGTTACTTTGTACATACAGGGTATGCAGATCAACATCAAGTGGCATATGGTCTTCATGTTTGTTGAGCATGCAATGTAAGTTATCATTTGAATGCACATTGTACATGTATGTATGCAGGTACTATAGATGGAGCATGACTTCTATGAATGCATGGTAGGTACATGTACATGTCCCTAGATGTACCACTGTGTACGCTGTATACGAGGCCGGAGTCTGCATCCAGTGCAGTGCATGTGCACATAGTACAAGTAGCCGTTGTACTTGTAGAAGGCTGGAATTGTCCTGCTTTGACATCGCTGGCAGTTTCACCGTCTTACAAGGCAAAGTGCTGCTGTGGGCTCATGTATAATACATGTACATGTATTGCACTACTACTAGTGAGGTGTTCAAAAGCTTAGGTCAGACCATGGTCCGACATACATGTACCACAGCAGCATGGTAAAGTGCCTTCTGCCATTGACTAACGACAATATTATTCTATGCCATGTGACATTTGGTTGAAATACCTGTCTGGTACATGTATAAATGAATTGTTCATGTACATCAATCACATACTGTACAGTCCTACTCATTGCACTGTTATGGGTACAGGTGTTCTCTACTCTGTGCATATTGAACATGTGAAGAACTTCATGGATCCAGTTGGCCGCACTACACATTCACATTCCTGTCCAAGTAGGGTGCATGTATTTTAATCTAATTAGTTCATTGCCAAATGTGTTAATTGATTTCCACTCTCATAGTGTATACCTGTGTGTGTCATTGTACAGTGCAGGATTTTACATGTACCATTTTTTAGTTGCTCCTTACTTCCAAAATTAAAAAAGATACATTGTATATTATTTGGACAGTATATGACACGTCACTGCAGTAAACAGTCCTGATGCTCCTTGGCCAAAATCCGTAACACACAGTAGTGTTTTGTAGGAGATGAGTACACCCTGCATGTACATGTACATTGTGTTTGAATATCCCTAGACTCCCAGGCTACGTGTGTACACTACACTCCACGTCATACATACATGTACATGTACTGGTATGCAAACAGTGATGCATTTGGCAGTCTACTGGACCCATCCATGCACAGACATGAATGCATACACCACAAGATCAAATTCAAAACATATACATTTTACTATGAAATGCAGGCGTTGCTTTTGCATCGCTACCAGTACAATGAACGGTCCCCCTCCCGTATGGTTCTTTTCTAAAGATGAGGGGGTGTTTCCGCTCATGGCCAATAGGGTATTTACATGCAGTTGAAGAATTCTAGCCATAGAATTTTATGAAGCAGTTTTCAACTTTGAAATATAGGCAGTGTTAGTGTACTAGCACCAGGCTCACTGAACGTGATTATACACATACATGTAGATGTTGCCATCTGTGGTTAATGGAGTACAGTATAGTCATGGGTTAACCTCTTCTTATGTACATTTACTGTGCGTCATTGGTCCTGGCCAGTCACCATAACCGACCAACTACGTACATGAAGACACAAGCAGGTAAAATTGCATTGAAATTGAATAGTATGCATCATGAATTGCATTTTTGTGTACGTGTACATGTAGTGCCTGTATGTATATACACCACATTGTAAAATGGATGCCATTGAAACATGACTTGCTTCTACATGTACTGTATACGCAATAAAACACACTGCAGGTACTTGTATGGACACATTGTTTTACTTCCTGATTGGTACATGTATATGTCAATTTACATTGCATTTATATGCACAGTATATTTACCAATATATGATGGAAACTACATGTACACCTATTGAGAACTGCCCTTTAGAACTGAAAAAAGCAAGAACAGTTTTCTGGAATTCAGTTTTCAGTATTGAATGATGTTGTCATGTTGTAGAAATGACCATCTTGTTTGATATAAATGGTTTAAGTTGCCATAGTAAATTCCCTTAAACTTGGCCCATATAGGTCCAGAGAGGAAATACGTAACCAGATAACTGCTGTAGCTGTGATTAGCTTTATACCCAGTGCTTGTACTCCAAACCAATGTGACAAAGTTCATGGGTGTACATTTGTATTGTGATTTTGCCAAATGCTGTCGACTCCACAGTCTTAACACTTGTACCGTACATATGGAAAGGTGAAGTAATAAAATGGTTGAACAGTCACTGATTGTGAATTGCTGCAGTGCATTTGGGTTTGTTTGTTACCAGTTGATGAGGATATCTGGACTTGGAACTGTATCAGACAGATGGATCCATGTTGAATCACATCCACGTTGAAATTGCAGCCTGGCTAGCAAAATTGCTGCTATTGAATGAGTTGAAAGGTTTGTCGTTTAGTTAACAAAATAGCACCAATTCCCACTTGTCACCTCAGCTCAAATCCATCATTACTAAATCAAGTAGTGGCTAGCGCATATAAACAAAAGCATCATAAACTGTCCTTCCATTGTGACTATTGCCTCTTCTACCCTCCAATCCACGAAGGCAAAACAAAATCACACAGTTGCAGTAGACACTAATTTTTAGTATTACGCTTATTGCATGTAAATAACCGTGTTATATGGGTAGTGCTGGGCACAGTCCTTTTAATCTATGGTCTAAATGGATGGAGGTCCCCTGGACACGCACAGGAAAAATTAATGCAATCTGGCAATTTACGTATACATGTTTGCTCACCAATAAGACTCACAAATGTTGTGCCCAACTCAGAGGTTGGTCTTCAGCCTTTTTCACCATTTCTACAGGCATGTTATGTGTTGAAAGAGAGATTGTACTCATGTAGGGCTGTACATGTCGGAGTTTGGCAATGCTTACCATAACTAGCGACTTGCCAAGAGCTATCCACACCAACTGTGCTCCAGTGTCTCATTACTGGACACAGTCCATGAACTGTCTCCCATTTCCTGATATCCTGGTGTGAGTGGTTTATGTTACAGTAACAAAATCATGTGAAACAAGATGGTGTATACAATAAATAGTGGTAGATTGCATCAATGGAAGTCAAGGCTTTCCTGTTGCCAGATACAGCCTATAATGTATTTTGCATGCTTTTTGTCCTGGTACTTCCCCATGATGAGGTTGTAACTACTGCACTTCCTGCAACGTTGCTTCCTCAACCACTTTACATTTCATTTCCTTCTTTGGACAGTATACAAAATTCAAACATGCAACCAACAAGTCAGAAAAACAGGAAATTCTAAACTCTGCAAAACAGACACTCCAAAACAGAAATCAGCTGATTTGAGGGAAAATGTCTGACATAACTAGTCTATTGGAAATGAGCAATATTGCTCATAAATGAAATGAACTAGTATAAATGAATTGAAATGGTCTTGTTTTCTTCCAAACCCCTTCCACAAGTAACTTTACAATTGACACTCAACCCAACAGTGGAAAAAATATTTGGAAATTGTCCATGCTACACATGAAGATCTCGAAACATGTTTGAATGAACTAAAATGGATTCCCATTGCACCCTAATCAGCCTATCAAAAACCGATGTGTAACACAATTTTATACTTTTTTGTGTCTAACAAGGGCTGGTGCTCAACTTTTGAGGTCCTAAGACTATAAAAAGGGTTGGGGAAGGGAGAAATAGAACTGCAGCGGAAATGTGACTTGGAAATTGGTGAAAGGATCAGGTTGAGCGGCCAGATACAACTTGTACAAGTCCATCAATGAGCACATGAATAGATGAAAATACAAGTACCTAAAATTTCCAGGTTCTGCAATTTGGTCATGCTGAAAAACAATCTAGCAGAAAATGCCACAGGAAACACCGAAATGCAATGAGATAAAATTCACTTCACAGTATATTCTTTGAAAGTGAAGGCAGGCTTCAAAATGTGAACCTAACCCAGTTTTCAATCGGATGGCAAGAGGAAGCAAATGTGCTTGCTGTCCAAACAAGTGAAATCCTCAGAATGTTCCCTTCCATTTGCAATGGTAAATGAACCTCGGCATTCATTCAAAAATTTGAACTTGGGGATGAAATAGTTTCATGAAGAGTAAAAAATCCATGCACACTTGCAATTAAGAGTGGGAAGGTAATAGCTTTGCTTTTTATGGATTGACCATGTGAGCACCTTTTTGGCAGAGGTCATCATGTACATGTATCTGCTTATAAGAGCTTCTGTGAAGGATTCTACAGCTGTCCAACATAATTTCTTTCTCAAAGGAATGGAGTAGAGATACATCCCCCCCACTTTTTGACTGAGGGGGGTAGCAGCCAAATGATATTTGTACAGAATGTTGCTAATGCTACCTGCATGCTCATTTTTCGCGGCATAAACCTCGCATACTAATGACAGTTGGTAGATCAGCCTGTTTTCACCATTCCCCCTGATCTACATTGCATCCTCAAAGCAGAATGTAGGTTACATTTAGGATTTTTTGTTCAGCAAAACCGGTGGACAAAGAGGCACAGAATAAAAAATGAGGAGTTCATGTACATGGGAAGTCGAATTAACTGGAGAACTCAAAATACACAAAATTCAGTTCTGTTTCTGTATTTGGATTGAATGGGAACAGGTCACATATTTTTTTGCACATAGGAAGTCATTGATATGGGAGGATTCCTTTGAGTGCAAATAATGACACTACCCTCAACTAAGATTCCAGTTTCACATCAAACACTGCAAACTGAAACACATTTGACTCATCAGTTGAGTATGAAGTGTTCAAAGTCCAGATATTTATTCAGGAACATGTATCCGTTTGACACGGTAGCATAATACATAAATATTTTCACATAACTTCTGAAAAGGCGAGTAATGAGAAATGTCAGTATTAAATTCAATTTAACAATGGAAAGTACTGGAGTTAATCCATTATCACTGTAGAGAATCTTCTGTAGATATCATCAAACTTTCTTTCAGTGTTTGGCAGTCCACACCAAACGATACATGTAATTTGGAAGCCATCATATGGTCCAGTCAAAACATACCTGGTTAACCACTACACTAAGCAATACTGGCCTTTATCAATTATCTTGACAAATATGACAAAACTCCTCCAATATACAGACCGACTTCTTTAAATATGCTGATATGTCAAAATCATGGTTCAAGCTGATATACATATTTCATATTGATATCAAAAGCTGAAAAGGTTTAAAAAGTACATTGGTCAAATGTCAAAGATCACATAACAGAGAGCCTGATATTATCTTCAAGCATAATTGAATCCTTAATCCGGATTGGGAGATCCATGCCAACAGACCATGCTAAATATTTCTAGCCAGTCCATATTGCACTTTACAAATTCAGTAACAAATGATGAACAATTGCACTGTTCCTTTGTGAAAAACAATACACCTACTGCAATACATGTGAGAAATTCTCTTAGAACAAACAAACACAGATCACTGCAAATGCAGAATGTATTGCACTTCCGAGACACAACGTAGCCTATTAAATCCTTAACTTTGATGTTGAATTTTGAAATTAAGTCATTCTGGGCATTTGGGGATATAGGCCCCGAGAGGGAACAAGAGAGGGAGCCATTTTCCTTGCATTAGAGGCTCCTTTGGTATGAACAGCACTTTGCTGGTTAACGGCTGCCTATGAAATGCATGCCTTGCAGTCGCTCACTACCAATACAATAAACACTCAACCGATGAAGGGGCTACTTCTGCTCAATGTGAAGAGTCACATCCATCTCATCTCCTCTCTCAGTTTGAGGTGTAAAATGAAATCCAAGGATCCCACAGAATTTAATCATCACTTAACAGACTTCTTTCCATTTTCTAAGCTCTATCACACATATATTCAAATCAAGGGTGGAGATTCCAGGGGATGTTGGGTTATACATCCCCTCACCCCCATGGCTCTTTATTTGTGACGATTTCCCCTATTGCTTTGGTAAATTTAAAAAAAAAAGGCTGGGAGCCAATATAGAACTGTAATATTCCAAGAAAAATCCAGTGTCACCGAAACAGTATTGATATCAGTTCACATAACGTCACGCATATATATTTCATTTTAAAAAATTTGTAAAACATTCATATTTCTCTGTATATCATTCACATTTTTACCTGGTTGCAGGCATATAGTAAATTTGCATATTTAACTATTTCAGCTTCCTGCACAACTGGCTCAGCTTTCAGGGTGAATGGTTAAAAATGTATTTCAAAATTGTTATCAATATCTGGGTTAATTGTAAAAACATGTACATGCTGTAGATTTCACAGAGGCCATACTTGTGATAAATGTCGTGGTCCGCAGCTTAGTCCGTAGAGCAGGCCTACAGCTCTCCAGGAATCTAGCCTGGAATACCCATGATCCTCTTTACACCTTGGTGGGGAGTGGATCCAAAAACTCAAGCTCATGAGTCATCTATGAAGAAAAAGAGGCTGCTAGATATCAGTATGGCAGTGCTATCACCTGAAATATTAACTATTTATCATTATGGTAGTTCTACCAACTCTTATGACAGCTGGCCTATTATACAACACCCAAATATATTCCCATTGTCTAATTATTCACTTTCTGCATGTACAGAATGTAAAGTAGTGAAAATGGTTATGTAATTTGAGGTAGATGGTTAGAGGTACCTATAATTATTTTCAAAAGGGATTGGGGGAACTGTGCTCATTAAACCAAAACATCTGGAATCAATTTCAGCCGAATTCATTTTCTTTTTCGGAGGCCGGGGGGAGGAGGAGAAGGCTGATGAGGTCCAGTGCACTTCACGGTATTTCTGAGCGTCCCGCTAGTGGATCAGTTTTTTTACTTAGAGGCAATTTCACACGAAGTTGAAGCTTAATTTACACAATTTAGCTGGAAATGGTCCAGTCTTCCATTAAACTCTCTGTTAATGAGTACATGCCCATTAACAACACTGATCATGGATCTTCCACTGTCCTGCAGTTGTTCATACTTGAACTGTTTGCTGGGGGTTCCCATGGGATTATTACTGGGCTCTCAAATCATGATGGACCATAGCCCAACAGGGGAACCAACTGTCCCCGTGAACCAATGTGGATACAGTCGAACACGCTTAATACGAGCTCGAAGGGACTCTCCAAAAAACCTTGTCTTACAGTAAACCTTGTGTTATATACATGTTGACACTTGTCCCATTCATAAAGCGCAAGCCTGGCGTCATGCACCGGCTAGCATTGTTATAAACTACAGCAATGTACATGTACTGCAGGCCTACATGTACTGTACGACACAGTATTATGCAGTGGATTGGTATTTGATGTACAGCCTTTAACTTGTTAATAAGTTTTACATGTAAATCATATTAATAAATATGATTCGAATGAACAAAACAATGATTTCGAATACGCCTACTAGTTTGACACAACAGCAGAGAACAGAGGTTGTAATAAGTTGCCGGCCGCCTGGTGCGGTGCACACGCGGCGTGGCCCGGTAAAGCATTCCTATGAAATTGGTACCCGACATTGAAATTACACGTAAGTAAAGGTTTAATTAACTTGAGAACCATTTCATATAAGAACCGGACGTAAGAGGGCACTGAAATTGGGGGATCTCCGTTGGTTTGTAATTGGCGGGAGAGGATCTATTTTTCAAGTCAAGTTCACCAATAATTGTTCATGTTCGGCTTAATTAAAAAAAACATCTCTTTCGGACCAGACCAACTAAGATCAAAACTCCTTTGATGCCGTGACATTGCAACACGTATTATCATCTAGAATAAAGCCCCCTCTAACGGCACAAGGAACAGAGTCGCCAAGTGATCGTTGGCCAAACCGCAGCGCAAATTGCCGAGCAGATTAGCATTTTTGGAGAACTACACGCATTCCATCAGGAATTACTTACTGGGATAAAGCTTTTGAAGACAGTTTTCAACTGTACTTGTATTAAAAATGCCACGGACAATGGATTTTGACACTGCCGGTTGAGCAAAAGTGCTCCACTTGTCCGTGTTCTCGTCTTAGCATACCGGTAGCTCCTATTAAGTAAGTTTTCTCTCACAGGAATGTGTACATTTTGAACGGGACTGAAGAAATATGCTCGTCTTAAGCACGATCTCATCTCAAGCGTGCTCATGTTAATCGTGTTGGACTGTGTATGTTCAATCACACATGTTACCATACAACCAAGGACAGTGCACTACATTTCCCAATGTTTCCATAATATACACTGTAACACTCTCCCGTAGACTAAGCTCACAGGAATACCAAGGACTGAACAAAAGACTGACCAGTTACCAGAGACAAGAGAGAATGCATGAGAACTGCACTCACATTGACAGCTGTTTTTTTGTTCACATTCTTGACTGATGAGGAAGTTCTCTTGGCAAGTTGGTGCTGTAAGAACAAGAAGGAAACAAAGAAGTTCAAAGTATGCAGTCTGTTTTTATCATGAGTCAATTTAAACTTTAATATCTGTGCTTTTTTGACATTAAAGGCGGTGTGTCAAAATTTGCTTACATGTAGTTTGGGGTTTGTGATTTACTTTAGGACACGTTTCATTTTTTGAGTTCATTGCTTTGAGGGAAATCAAGAAGAATGCTGTTCATTTTTAACACTGAAAGCCCAGCTTGTGTAATTTGTCTCGCAAAAATCAATGAGCCACTGGATGTTTCTGAGTGCCATGGACATGTAAAGTGAACAGGGCGAGGTCGAAATGCATTTTTTTATGGCTTTGTGCAGTAACAGTGATTGGCAAATTTACCTTGAAGATTGTTTTTCGTATTTAACAATGCAAAGCTGAGAATTTGTAAAATGAATACCGTGTCATCGTGCAGTGAACTATAGTCACCACTGTCACTGCATTAACAAAACGTACATGTAGGGCCTAGGCCTACCTCGCACTGGTACATTACACATGCACTCTACACCACACTATTCACTCTTCACATGTAGCCTGTTACGTTGGTCAAAAACCGTCCACACAATGTCAGTACTCATCATAAACATTTTGTAAATCAACAAATGTGGCAACTATCCTCGCATTTTGGGCATAAGATTTACTGTAATTGAAAAAACAGAAAGCTAAATGTCTCGAAATTAGAAAGTTTGTTTGAGAAAACTGGACATCATATGGAGCTCCAAAGGAGCAGCCATGATCAATTTAGACCATACCATTATCTTAAGGGGTGATACAGCGATGATACATGTATATTCACGTAAGGTAAATTTCCTCAGTTTCATAAAGAAACTCTAATTTCAAACTACCGGTAGCTCAAATTATCATTTAGGCTTTTGGTTATGGTTATACGTATCTGTTTTACTAGTTAATAATGAGTTGAGGCATACTGAAGGCGCATTGGCAGTTTGCATAATACCGTTAGTGTAGACTCTTGTAACAGGTGAGTGCTTCACACACAGTTTCGTTGCGCCCAAAATTAATGGTCATGGTATTTGAACAAATTGTACTTTCCACAGATCATACGTCCGGACAATCTTTGGAAATAATTATACAATTTCTCTTTTCTAGAAAATGACAGCATTCCTGGCGGTAGGATTTTTGCAAATTGTCTAACACTATTATACTATTATGTACGTGTATTTACTTTACACTAAGAAATTTCAAGATGATTTGACAGTCCCGTTTTTGAGATCTTGCAAATCCTATTCAGAGTCTTTAAATGCATGACACTTGAACAGATCTTTCTTCCCCACTTCATGCAGGATGATGTATAAACGTGCAGGGATGTTGTGTGCTAATTAGCCATTCTGCCTGTGTTTGTCCACATACACAGGTCACTGAAGCTAATCCATATGCCACGGCTGGGCATTGTACATGTAGGAAAGATCACTCCACAAAATTGGCCCCAAGTGTAAAAACAAAAATGATGATGCAGTCAGCAATGTCATACAAATCTTGGACAAGTGACCTCCAAGGGCAAGCTTTTGTGGAGTAAACCTTTAAAAAGACTCTGTTCTGTGTAGCTACTATTTACTTATAAAAGGGCAAAACTTTACATGGTTCTGTATTTAAGTTACAGGGTCTGACATTAATACAGGATTACTGAAATGAGCAACTAACCTTGGCCAATGACAGCACACATCCCACGAGGCACACAACTCCCAGGGCAATGAGGCTAAGGGTCAGAATCCGGGTCTTGTCAATAGCAGGATCTACAACAAAACATATGATCATAACTCTCTCAAAGACAACTGTGAGTGTGTATGCAGCACACGGAGTGTTTGACAGCCTGTAAGAAAAGATTTGCAATGCTACTACATATACACGTATGTATCTCTACGGTTATGCATGCAGATATAGCCGAGTATGAGCCCTTTGCACTTGAAATGACGCACCTGTCAATAAGTGCACCTGTCTTCTATTTCATGCACCCCGGTGTCCATTTGTAATCATGCAAAGATCCCACAATGTCAAACTTCATCAGATGTTTTGGGCTAGTCAAATCATGTAATGAACAGCACAATTAGATACTAACTACCTGTACATGTATTTAACAAAATTCATCAAAATTGATCACAATCACTAGTTGGCAATGGGGAGGGCTTAAGTGGACAAAGTAATACATGTACGAGCACATGCACTATCAGGTAGAGATGCTGGATTGATATGAATGATCTCACCAAAATCACAGTATTTCTCAGTGCAGCTGAAGAAACCATTTGAACAATAGCTGCACGTAAAACAACAAAAGGAAATCATTGTTTTGATCAGTAGTCATATTACACATGTGCATGTAAAGCAAGATGGTGGTGCTGGAATGTACATGTACATGTAGAGGCAAGATGGTGGTGCTGGAATGGCACGCCTTAGTTCTGCCTTACCTAGCATGCTTTAATGGGAAAATTCCATCACTTACACAGCCATTAAAAACCAGTAATTCCCATACCAGTAATAGGACTGAAGTGTTCATACCAGAATTTCAAGGAGGAAGGACCAGAGAGGGTTGGGACATAGTCAAATGAGAGGGCTGATACCCTTCTTGATCCCTTCAGTATTGTAGTTAAGACCTCTTTTATCACAGACCCCATGCGACCATCATAAGACCAACACAAGACCTCCGCTCTGAATTCAAATCACAAGCTACATGTATTCAAATGAAGTGCAACAGAAAATGTTCCGTTACTGTTCACGTTACTTATGATTGGTCTTGTGTGTGGTTGTAGGATGGTCTGAGTGGACAACACTACAACACTGGGAAAAACCTGAACAAATACTTTCCAAATTTGAACAAACCCTCTGTGATTGGTCCTGAAGCTTCCCTGTGAACTCACCATGTGTTACACCCATCAGATGCAAGGTAATCTTCCCCAGTCTGGTAAATCTTGCCATTGTGATAGCATGCTGTGACAAACAGAATTAATTAGGATCAACAACAGGTGTGATTTCAGAGAGTATGGAATCTCCCCTCCCCTCCGCCCCCAAAAAACATACAGGAAATACTAACAAAATCAAGAGATGGACCTAGGAAGCCACAATTTTGGTAAGGTATCAGGGATTCTAGTATCAATCAAGGTCAGATTTGCAACCTCAGGGATGGATAAAATATCAGTCAAAGGACATATACATGTACAATGCTACCCTATAGTACATGTACTTGTGAAGAGTTTGACAGGGCTGGAGAGAAAATGTACCAAAGATACAGGGGACTTAATACATGTATGTGTAATTATGGTTGAATACATGTATGTGCTTGGCCAGTTTGTTTAAGACCGGCTGGGCTTTTGAAGCTCATAATAACCCAAACCGAAATCACCACAATTGTGATTTGTAAACTTTGTCGTTTCGACATTGTGATTTTTCTGATATCCATGTTCATGGGCCACTGTCAAATGAATCATTTCTGCCTCTATCACTCTACACAATAAGATGGTATACATCAAACCATGGAGAAATAAAACACATTTCTCCATGATCAAACACACCAGACTGGAGACCAAACTAAAATGGACGTTTTATATACATGTACAATCACTTCTAAAAGCATTTACACATACATGTACTTCTAAAGTATGGTATGGTATTGCTTGGTGTGTGTATGTGCACTCACGTTTCACAACTTTTCAGGCTTGGGTAAATAGTTTGGCATTATTGTTCTTTTCAACGGTTTTAAGTACAAATTTATCCTAGTAACAAACAAAATCAATCATTTTC